TGCTTTGGGAAAGATGAACAGCAGCATATAATTCTAGAGAGCAGTTTCTGCTCCACTGTCTACAAGTGTAATTGTAGGTCATTCCCCCTGCAGGCAATTATCAACGTCATTTTAACAGGCAGAGCAAGTCCACATGTGTTTAATGGGTTCCAGAAATTGACCAGTGAAGGTGGAGTGCAAGAACTATTGCATGGAGTCCTGGCCCGCAGTGATATAGGCTATTTACACTGGAACAAGGAGGAAGTGGAGCATGGCAGACCCCTCCAGGTGAGAGTGTATGCAAATCACTGAGCTGCACTGACACTCCTGTGCTCAGAACCCCAGGGCTTCAGATTGTTACAGTGGGTACATACACTGGGTGCTTGTCTTCACTGGGAAGTAAAGGTGGGTTCTTAATCTGAGTTAGATAACTTAGGGTAAAATGCTAACTAGGAAGAGTCCTGTGAACATTGAAAACTGCCTTAGGAAGGTTCCTATGGAGTAAAAAGCACAAGAGTCAGTGAGGGTGGGGGCCATGTCATGGCATTGGGAAAAGGCAGCAGAATGAGGGAATAGGCACCATTGATTAAATAAATAATTTGAAGGCTGGGTATGTATAGGGTTACTGTCTCTGTCTCATGCCATCGTGGAGTAAAAAGCACAAGAGTCAGTGAGGGTGGGGGCCATGTCATGGCATTGGGAAAAGGCAGCAGAATGAGGGAATAGGCACCATTGATTAAATAAAGAATTTGAAGGCTGGGTATGTACGGGGTTACTGTCTCTGTCTCATGCCATCATGCCATGCAGCTAAAATGTGCCAACAGTGACACACACAAAACTACCGTAAATATAGGGATGCAAATGGGTAACTGATTACCTAGTAAACATCAGCCTTACCGGGTGATGCTGACTAGTAAATGGTTAACCAGCACCCAGCCTGGCTGGAGCAGCCCCTGCCTGCAGCATGAGAAGGGCAGGGGGCGCGCCAGCCCAGCCAGGCTTGCACCACACCACAGCGTACTGTGCCGTGAGCAGGAGCACCGTGCTGCACTGGACATAGTTTAAACAGGTTAATATTTAAAACTGGATTTTATATCCTACATAAAAATAAATCATAGGCACATAAACTGGGCAACGCTGGGTAGAAAGTCAGTGGAATGAGTTAGAGCAGGGACTGGGGGAAAAGGAGGATTATGCAAAGGAAACATGGAAATACTTTCTTGGAAAGCCATCTGAACTATTGCTGACATTATCTACAATGAATCAAAATGCAGCCGGGCACAGTTAGCCAGGCCCACACCACACTCCACACACAGCCAGCACAAAAGGGCAATGGATGGCCCCACAGTCCTGGTTACTGCTAGATATAGATAGCAGCACTCTCAGGCTATGTCTATTCTACAGGCTTCTTGCGCAAAAAGCTTTTTGCGGAAGATCTCTTCCACAAAAACTTCTTGCACAAGAGTGCGTCTACACTACAAAAGCGCATCACACGTCCACACTACAAAAGACTGCATGGACACTCTCACAAAAGGAAATTCTGATTGCTATTTACAAACTGGCCACCAAGGCACCTGTGCTTTTTTCGATTGCCTCTTTTTGTGCAAAAACTGCTGTTCCCCGTCCCCACACACCTTTTTGCACAAGAGCTCTTATTGCTCGTAGAAGAAGGAATACCTACACTGCAAAAACCCCTCTGTTCTTTTGTATTACTTGCGCAGAACACTTGGACACTCCGCGAGTTTTTGCACTAAAATGACAGTTTTTGCACAAAAACCTCTGTAGTGTAGTCCTAGCCTGAGTCTACAGCTCCTACACTTTTCCACCCTCCTCTCCATACAATCCCCAAATCTAGGTGCCCATATGCTGAATCTTTAAGGTACACTCCTGCCGTGTGTGCAATCCTTGCTGCATCACAGGAGCTTCCACTGATATGGCTAAAACAATTATACTTTGCTCTGGTGGCTTCACCACCAGCCTATCCAAGGAGCTACTCCATAGGTTCAGTGCTCCGTATTCTTTTCCTTTGTTCCCTATGGGATTTTCAACCACACCCTTGTTTACTCCACGGGAGATCAACCCGTGTGCTCAACATGTTGCCTTGCAAACTCCAGGGTTTCAAAGCTATAGCCTTGAGTAACACATCTAACACAGTCATCAGATTGGCTGAAGCATGAATGTTTCACTGATGAGAAGAGTGAAGACAATATGAGACAGCTTGATAAGCTGCTTGAAGAGTCTTTTAGTGTCTTGGGACATTATTTCAAGAGCTTGAGTTACTAGGACCCAGTTCTAAATCTGGAAGCCTCAATACCTTTGTGGACCTGGGCCAAGGTTTCTGATATTAGTTCCCTTTTTAAGACTGAAATATTTTCATAGATCCAGTTATTGCAGAACAAATGCAAACATGACCCTCCGGGGTTAATTGCACTTATCCAGAGATGTTGTCCTTTTTTTCTTTCCTTTTATGTGTTACTATCATTGTCATATTCTTTCTTGAGGCTTATGTGTATCAATAGAATAGTAATCATGTCAAACATGACTTACATGACATTGCTGTCCAATAGTTTCGATTGCATTACTTTCTAGAGAGCATAGAGAATACTTTTTCACCCACCCCAAACAACAAAGAATACACAATCGTGAAAAATTAAAATTGTTCTTCTTATATATATAGGAGATTAACTCTGGCATTTGAGGGTGTAATTAATCTCATATGTATTTTCTAATCAACCACTACTGTATGGATATGTTTGTGGATTAAAGTCTATAAAATGATTAAGAGTTTCCTTCTTCTTCAATACAGGCAGTCCCCGACTTACGCGGATCCGACTTATGTCGGATCCGCACTTACGAACGGGGCTTTCTCGCCCCGGAGGTCGGGGCAAGAAAGCCCCGTTCGTAAGCTGCTCCGGTGCCCCTGGTCTGCTGGAGACCGTCTCCAGCAGACCAGGGGCACCGGGCGGGTTCCCGCGCTTCTGAGGCTTTGCCAGCAGACCACAGGCACCCAGATTGAAGCGGCAGCAGCGGCGGTTCCCCGCGCCTCTGAGGCTTTGCTTGTGTGACTTCTTGCTGGCCAGAGTGGCAGCTGAAGTGTTTGTTGTGATAGAGGATGGACCCCAGACTTGGGCTGTAAGTAGCCTTATTTCTAAGCAATTCACCCTGATTTGGCCCTCTCAGTGGTGCTCCCAGACCCGGTTATATTACACATGTTCAGTGTAGGAAAGCATCCGAATGTTTTTGCACCAAACACCTCAGAAAGAAGTATTAGGCCAAACACCGGCAAAGGCTTTCTTAACACACTGACATTGACTTCAGTAGGATGCCTGATAGTACATCAGATTAAGCTAACAAATAAATCTTTGAAGGCTTTGGGTTTCGAGCTTCATATTCATCTTAGTGCATACACGTTTTAATTCAAAATGGGGGTCCTCGAGTTGCTAAAGTTCAAGAACTACTGCTCTAGGCTATAGAGGGTTCAAGAAGGTGAGGGATGCCACCCCAGACCCCTGATAGCCCCCCCTTCCGATAGTCCGGCTCTCCCCCGGGCGTCCCTGATTCAGCCGCTGCGGGTCAGTTTCAGCAGCGGCTGAATCAGGACGCCTGGGGCAGAGCAGATGGGGTGCTGCTAGGTTGGTCCAGTAGCACCCAGGAGCGGCGCTACTGGAGCAACCCAGCAGCACCCCAGCTGCTCTGCCCCAGGCGTCCCCAAGTCAGCTTCTGCTGAAACTGACCAGCGCTGACTACAGGAAGCCCCAGGCAGAGTTGCTCTGCCCCGGGCTTCCTGGAATCAGCTGCTGATCAGTTTCAGCAGCAGCTGACTTGGGGACGCCTGGGGTTCTTAAGTTGATTCTGTATGTCAGTCAGAACTGGCGGTCAGTTTCAGCAGTGTCTGAATCTGGACGCCAGTTCCGACTTACATACAGATTCAACTTAAGAACAAACCTACAGTCCCTATCTTGTACGTAACCCGGGGACTGCCTGTACTTAATTCTGCCTGACAGAAATTCTGCTCTCAAAGTGAGGAATTATTTCATCTCTAGTGTGGCCATATCTCATTTCACCTCAGTAAATCATCTTTATACACCGGGCTTAATTTTAATGGCCATTGGATGCAGGCTGTTTGTCAATCAAGCACTGGTCTGAGACTGCCAAATATATAACATATGACATCAGAGTCCAAACATAATGGAAAAAACAATAAAAGCAAGGTTCAAAGGCCACATCCAGAGATATGAAATTTGCATTCCCCACGTGACACTCACAGTAGTCTGCTGAGAGAGAGAGATCTTCCCTGAGGGGCCAAGTACAGCCCTGGTGTAAGCAGACACAGCTCCAACTAAGTTTATGGATTTATGGCCTTCTATAGCATGGCTGAATTTGGGCTGTTCTCTTTAACAGCAGTATCAGGTCTGTATGCGGCAGGGGTGTATGAAGGGTGCGAATGCACCCCCGTGATTTCCCAAGTAAGCATGAGGGGGCTCTGTTAGGGCAGTGGATCCGCCTCTCGAGCTCAACTCCCTTCTTTCCCACAGAGCAGGGAGCCCAAACTTGCGCTTCATCCTTGCCTTTCCTCCCCTCCCCAACCCTCGGCTCCAAGGCTGACGCACCAGCACCAGCTTCACACTGGGACAGGAGACAAAGCACTGACCTCACTGAGCAATCCAGCTCATGGGGAAGAAGCACTCTCCCTTCTTCTCCCAGGCTGGGGGAACAGCAGCGTGCAGGTGCACTGTTCGGAGGCT